GTGGCGGACCCTCCGCGCGAACGCACAAACGGAGGGGTAGTGTGTAGGGGTAGGGTGTAGGGCCTGGTTTGGGATTGGGCCTGAGATAAACATCTGATATTCACTCGTTGAGCTGTAATCAGTCGCCAATTAGCCAGGAGTCAAACCAGTAGCTCAATTAAATTAATCAATCGATCAATGAAGGCGTCATGCTGCCTGATCATTCACCTTTGTTATCTCTTCCTGCAGTTTGGTGATTTCTGCCTGTTTGGACGCCTGAAGGCAGACAGGAGAAAATGTGTTAGTACAGTTTCAGAGTCAAGAGAACAACAGAGAAACTGTTTTTGTTTACACATATAAACAAGCATTTAAATCTACACTACAAAACACACACACAGGCCTTTCTCTCGTGTTTTGGGAGTGGCAAATTGAACTCCAGAAAGTCCAGATTTCCCATAAACTTGAGGTAGCAGTACTCTCTGATTGTTGGAGGTATACCACATTTCTAGAAACCCTTTATTTTCACAATAGCTGTTGGTCATTTTAATACTTGACCAAAGCACCAGTCTGGTGAACATATGAGAAAACACGGACTTCAGGAAACATGCTGAATTGTGGGATAATTTGTAGAGAAATTAAATCTGATCTCCATTGTTTTCGCATAAGCCTGCATTTTCTGAATGTAGTAATATAAGTCAAATGTGATATATTTTAACTTGATTTAATTATAAAGCATCTTTCCTGAAGACTTGTAGCCCCAAATGCTTCACATTCAAAACAAACAAACAAAAAGAAAATAAATACAATTTTGGCCAATAAAAACTATGAATGTTAAAAAACTAAACTAAAATAGAAGTACATAGGATATATTAAAATCAAATATCAGGGATAACTCATTGTGTTTGTTGGCTAATCATTTTTTGTAAATAGCCTGTTGATGTTTTCTGATGGGCTCCTTGAGAGTGTAGTTGTGTAGGTCGAGTGTTGTCTGGTTTTCTGTGAACTTGTTTTATAGCAGCTGAAGTAAAGAGTGAGTAGATGTGTGATCAATACAGTTGTGTATTCTGTGCGTGTGTATGTGTGTGTTCTGTGTGTGTGTGTCTGTATGTATGTGTGTGTTCTGTGCGCACGTGTGTGTGTTTTGTGCATGTGTGTGGGTGTGTGTGTTTTATGCGTGTGTGTGTTCTGTGCATGGGTGTGTGTGTGTTTTATGCATGTGTGTGTGTGTTCTGTGCACGTGTGTTCTGTGCGTGTGTGTGTATGTATGTGTTTGTTCTGTGCGTGTGTTTTGTGCATGTGTTTTATGCGTGTGTGTGTTTTATGCGTGTGTTCTGTGCGTGTGTGTTTTATGCGTGCGTGTGTGTTCTGTGCGTGTGTGTTTTATGCGTGTGGTCTGTGCGTGTGTGTTTTATGCGTGCGTGTGTGTGTTCTGTGCGTGTGTGTTTTATGCGTGTGTGTGTTCTGTGCGTGTGTGTTTTATGCGTGTGTGTGTTCTGTGCGTGTGTGTTTTATGCGTGTGTTCTGTGCGTGTGTGTTTTATGCGTGCGTGTGTGTTCTGTGCGTGTGTGTTTTATGCGTGTGTGTGTTCTGTGCGTGTGTGTTTTATGCGTGCGTGTGTGTTTTATGCATGCGCGTGCGTGTGTGTGTGTGTGTGTGTACCTCCAGGGCGTGGATCTGCTCCCTCAGCAGCCTCTTCTCCTCCTGCTCGGTGTTCAGTGCCATCTCCAGCTCTGGTCCAAAGCAGTGAGTTATTGGACAGAGAGCAGCCGACCAGCCTATCGCTGCCTGCTTAGCTACAATCTTCTCTACGCTCTTCTCTGACAGGCCTAAAGGGGGCGCCGCACACAGCAGGGGGGAGTCTGTTAGGCCAGACACACACTACACCAGCTCCTCTCTGCACGACCCAATTATCACCTGAGTTTCTCTGGCTGAGCAGCAAAGGCAAACACCATGAGAGCGGTTTGAATTCTGTAAACGGTTATTTTTGAAGTAAACGGTTATTTTGTGGTTTTTTGTAATTATTGAGTGTTCTTGTATTTTAATGTGTTATTTTATACCTCGGGACTGTGGGAAACAGTATTTCGATCTTTCTGTGAGTACAAACATATTTTTGAGATTGACAATAAAGTTGACTTTGACTTTGACTAAATGATAGGAAAGGAGCTTCAATGCTTCCTTTGATATCTCCTTTAGGATACACTGGATCATGCTTTAGGAAAGGAGATAATCCTGTCCCACAATGTCACAAAGACAACTATTCATGACACAGATCATGTAAGTCACGGTGATTATTAAGACTTATCAGGTCCATCTTCTGACGAAACTTGCTGCTTTTAGGTTTTAAGATTTCAAAAATATAATAAACCAAAGGGCAAACTATCAACAGTTCGCTAATTATTTTTGTAAAATAATCAAATAAAGTCAACATTTAAAACATTTTTAATTTAATTAATTTTAACTTGGTTTTTTCTGCTATATCTGATAATATGAAACCAAACAAAGACGGATGAGTGATGTCATAATTTAACAATTAATAACCACAAGGTTTGCTTCATAAACCTGTCTCACATCGTGCAGAAATTGGGCGGTTATCTGAAGATACAAAAAACACGTTTCCCCCCAAAAAGAGTTTCAAATCTTGAATTTCAAATAGAATTCAGTCATAAAACACAGACTTGATCACCCAAACAAAATGACAACTTCCCAATGACTTTCATCATATATCAAGTATGTAGACTACAGTAGTGTTTTGGTAACAGTTGGTTATTACTGTCCTCTTTAGAATCAGGTAAGTTGGCGTTGCAGCTTTGCCAGAAAATAACTTTTGAATGATGCTCCTGATATTTCCTCAGTTACACATTTTGATGTCCGTCAGCTGGTAGTGTGTGTCTGCCCTGAGCCAGCTAGCTGCTCTACGCTTTAATAAAGCCAGGCTGAGACTTTATCGTTAATTATCAAATAGAAACCAGATTTCAAATAATGACAAGCAGGAAGAAAACATGACAAATCAATAGGAGGAAGAGTTGTAATGTTACTGTAACAGATTTCTGGCTGATATTTGAGAATTTAGTGCAACAAGCGTGATAAAAAGGGTCAAACTGGTGGATTCACATGTTTTATCTATTATAAGTAACATATTTAGTGTAACACAAGTTTTAACCTTTAAACAGAGGCTGTATTTTTTTTAACAATGCTTAAAGTAATCTGATAATTGAGACAATATCGCAGAATAGAGTGTCACAGTGACGCGTCCTCAGCATTTTACCAGGTCCTGTTCCCTCGTCTCAGAGCCAATGGGATCTCTCCACAGGATTGAGGAAAACAGCTGAAAATAAGGTCTGTGGTTGAGACACATTGAAGAGACGGGTCACGTTTTGTTCTACGACATTAAATCCATCAGCAGTGACCCCACTGGTGATTTCTGAAGAGTTGACGTGTCTGAAAAACGATGGTTGTTACCAAGTGGCTGAATAGGACTACAGAAGTTGTGGAGGCCGTTGTACGTCATTACGCCGAACACGTAAACACTCCTCTAAGTTTGTTCCTGTTCTGCTTGAAAGCAAGTGCCTGCCTCCTGCAAAGTGTTCAAACAAACGCTTCAACTCGTACCATTTTGAATCTGTATGTTTGAATATGGATCTTAAGTTGGCGTGACGTTGAAGCAGCGACCCTGCTGTAGTTCGTTTATAGCATAACGTTAGCATTTTGCTTCTGGCGACTAGATTTATGATTAGAAAATGATAAAAGTAGGGTAGACGTGTGGAGATTATCCGGCTGAACAAAACGTGATCCGTCTCTTCAATGTGTCTCAACCACAGACCTTATTTCCAGCTATTTTCCTAAATCCTACTGTATGGAGAAATTGCATTGCGTTTTTGTCCAGGGCACCGGAAGGAGTTTACTTCCGGGTTTTAGGACGCGTCACTGTGGCACTCTATTTAAGCAATGTGAAATTCAATTGATTAAATGGTCTTTAAGTCAACTACTAACTCATGAATATGACATGGTAACTGGTTAAATCAAATTGCATAATATAAGTGTGTTTGCCAGAGACCAGAGAACTATCGAAGATCGAATGAAAAGACAGGAGTTTGTGTTTTAAAAGGGAAATGCTGTATGTGATAAAGTTTAAAATCACCATGTAGCTGTTTCTCTTTGTGTTCCAGCTGAGCCTCCTTCTGCAAACAGGAAATTACATAAAATACAAACACACAAAAAAATGCAATAAATTATCAAATGAAAGTTCTCAGTGTTAATCTCCCACTTTACAATTTGTTGGCATTTTCTTAACAATTAAAAACTAGAAAATCAATAAATTAGAGTTGATAAATTAAACAACAGAGATAAGAACAATGTAAAACGTAATGCTTTATCATTATCCTTAAAATAAAAGTTTTATTATAAATATTCATTGCCAAAAAATAAGACCGGGTTTTAAAATATTTGAAATATTCCCAAGAAAATATTTTGTCACCTGTTCTAGTCTCTCATTGGCTCCCTCTGATGTCGGCTCCTCCCCCTTCCCTGTGGCATCAGAGACTCCGTTGGCGCCGGCTGTCTCCATGGCAGCGCTCTGGTTGCCCTCGGCGACCGGCTGTCTCTGTTGCTCCATGTCGAAGCGCTCCTGGAGAGCTGCAGGAAGAATCATTTATTTATTAAACACCACAGGAATTCAATAAAATATGTATTTGGTTTGTCTTGTGCATGTTTCCTGGCTAATAAGTAATATGATGGATTTAAGAATAATTACTGTTATTATTGATAAATGTTATTTTTTATGAATCATTTTGTCATAGGTAATATTTCCCCTCAGCCCAAGGAGATATCTTGTCCCTTTCAAACAGCAGTGTCCAAAAACCAAACACATCAAGTTAACTATTAGATTGCTTTTTTCTGGCAAATAAAAGCATTGAATCCAAAGCTGGAATCAGTGTTTAGTTTTTGACATTTTAGCTTGAAAATGTGGAAATTAGTGCTAATTTAAATTACATTTTCTGTTGATCAAGTTATCTATTTATGTGGCCTGCAGGGTCAGCAGCATCTGGGCTGCTGACAGGAAGAGACTGAACAGACTGGTAAAGAAGGCCAGCTCTGTCCTGGGGAGTCCTCTGGACACTGTGGAGGTGGTGGGAGACAGGAGAACAGCAGCCAAGCTGTCCTCCCTGCTGGATAATGTGTCCCACCCCCACCAGGACACCCTGTCCTCACTGTGCAGCTCCTTCAGCGATAGGCTGCTGCACCCCTGCTGTCTCACGGAGAGATACCGCAGGTCTTTCCTTCCCCCCACACACACACACACACCACAACACAGACTATATCACCCCTTGCTGCTAAATACCAACAAACTATGTGCAATATGTGCAATATATAGATGCCGTTAATAACTGTGTATAATATATACCTGGCTGCTAAATCCTAAGAACTGTTACAGGGTGTGTATTTTGTAAATTGTGTAACTTGCTGCTGTTAAATACCAACCACCTATGTGCAATATGTGCAATATATATAGATGCTGTTAATAACTGTGTAATATATACCTGGCTGCTAAATCCTAAGAACTGTTACAGGATGTGTATTTTTTTTAAATTATGTAACTTTTTTATTTTTTATTATATTTTTTATTATATCATAACTTAGTACTTTTTTTTAATGCATGTCACATATTTAACATATGTAACATTAAGCTGTCTGTGGCTCTTTTTCCTGCTGTAACTACGCACAATTCCCTTCCGTGGGACTAATAAAGGTATTCTGACTCTGATTCTGATTTTATCACTGCAGCTCTATTTTTAACTACTGTGGACACTTTTAAGAGCATCTTCAAACCCACCAGTTAGGACTTGGACATTTATTTCATCTGTATGGTGTCTCGTAATTAGTTTTGTCTTTTATTCTTAAGAATAGAAAAAGTCACATCTTCCACACTGCTGAGCTGGCAGCTACAAGGTTCAAGGCTTTTTATTGTCATGTGTGCATAGCTACAGTGTAGTTATGACAATGAAATGCTTAGGTCACAGGCTCCTCCAACAGAGCAACACAATGAAACAGATAAGGACTCACTTTTCATTTTCTTCAGCAGGGTGGAGTTCTCGGCCTGCAGGCGGAGCAGCTCTCCATCCACAGGGCTGGAGGTGGGGTTTGGGGGGGGGCTGGGTGCAGAGGCTGCTCCGTCCTTCAGACCCTGGTTCTCCTGCTCCAGCTCCTCGATCTGCGTACACAGCTGGAACCAAACAGAACCAGAATCAGGTTTATCACCAGGTAGGTTGACACGTACGAGGAATTTGACTTGATGTCGTGGTGCATACATAAAACTCTATAACAAATCACCTCTGGCTGGCAGAGAACTGTCTGCTCCACAGCGTCTCTTGATTACTGGACTTAAACCCCCACTCTACATTTTACATAATTCATATTCTATTTCATTTTGGACAATCCTTTCTTGCACAATAATATTCTGCATTATATTTGTTACTGGAAATATGTATTTCTACTTGTATATTTTCCACATTTAAATATTTATTTTTTTATTATATTTTATATTCTTTAACTTTTTATGCTATTTTATTTCTATTTCAGAAATATTTTGGACTGTTTATTTCTTGTGTCTTAATTTCTCTTATATACATTGCCTTGCTTTTTTATGCTGCTGCAACGCAAACATTTCTTCAATTGGGATCAATAAAGTATCTATCTATCCATCCATCCATCCATCCATCCATCCATCCATCTACCTACCTACCTATCTATCCATCTATCCATCCATCCATCTATCTATCTATCTATCTACCTATCTATCTATCTATCCATCTACCTACCTACCTATCTATCCATCTATCCATCCATCCATCTATCTATCTATCTACCTATCTATCTATCTATCTATCTACCTACCTACCTACCTACCTATCTATCTATCTACCTATCTATCTATCTATCTACCTACCTACCTACCTACCTATCTATCTATCTATCTATCTACCTACCTACCTACCTATCTATCCATCTACCTACCTATCTACCTACCTACCTACCTACCTACCTATCTATCTATCTATCTACCTACCTACCTACCTACCTATCTATCTATCTATCTACCTACCTATCTACCTACCTACCTACCTACCTACCTACCTACCTATCTATCTATCTACCTATCTATCTACCTACCTACCTACCTACCTACCTACCTATCTACCTATCTATCTAAAAGTAAAACAAAAATGTAAAACACAGATAGAGAACTATTTTAAGAAAACTATAATAACATTACAAAATATTAAAAATAATAAAAAGTATAATAAAATATAGCAGTATTTACATAGAAATAGAATGGAATAAAATTTGGAATAAAATGTGGCAGTAATACAAAAAAAAGAAGATACCAGAGAGGGTATTAACACCATCTGTCGTCTTCAGTAAGATAAGATAAGAAGTACTTTATCGATCCCAATTAGGGACATTTTTGTGTTGCAGCAGCATAAAAAGACATGGCATTGTACAATACAAATGAAAAGAATAGAAATAAACAAGAAAGTAGAAAATATACATGTTGAATTAAGGAGGAACCTTTGAGCTGAAAGACACACATTTATTGGAATAACAAAAAAATATATAAAGTAAGATTTAATAGTTTATAGAGAAGAGGTTAACTTTCAAATAACGTTAATCTTTCTCAGTTCTGTAATTCTCCAGATGCTACCGACTCTTCTCCTCTCCCATAAACACAGTAACACACATCATGTGAGGCATTCCTCATTCTCCATACTGTAAATGCACATTTCTCCCTATATTTTGCACACTTCTATTGAATGCTTCATCTTTTATAATTCCACAGCTCTGCCACTATAAATTCTGATACACTGCATATATTTTATTCTCAAAGTATAGTGTTATTCCTATTGGACCTACTTTTTTGCATGTTTTTATTTATTGTAAAATGTATTTGAATATGTTTATAGGTTACCAGTGTTCTGGGTCATGGTGCTGATGTATAGGATGTGTTTAACGTCAGTAAAGTATTTTCCTACAGTTTCTAAGAGGGTGTCTCAGTCAAGTTTCTTATTTGTCCAGTTTCTTATCACGGCCAACTCATGGGGAAAAAAAACACATTTATTTTTAATAAATCCAGCCTCTAGTTGGCCTTAATACAGTAGTTGGACTCTGAGCGCTGTCAAAACATGGGTGACCTACACTCTGCACTGTTCCTGAACGCCTCTTATGTCACATTGATTGAGCACGGGAACTTCTGATGTTAATTTGCTGCTAACTGTGGGATATTTCAATGATTAGAAACAGTGTCAGTTAGATAGAAGTGATATATTCTACATGTTAGTAGGATGTGAATGCACAGAGAGAGAGAGAGAGAGAGAGAGAGAGAGAGAGAAAGAGAGAGAGAGAGAGAGAGAGAGAGAGAGAGAGAGAGAGAAGAGAGAGAGAGAGATAGAGAGAGAGAGAGAGAGAGAGAGAGAGCGCTACCTTAGAGAGTTCGGTCATCAGCGTGCTGTTCTGTAGTCTGAAGTCATCCTCCTGACTGTGGAGTTTCCCCTGAAGCATCTCATTCTCACTCAGCAGTGCCTCCACCTCCTGCAACAACAACAACAACAACAACAAAGATATCAATAAATGCTTACAGTCCATGTTCTATAAATACATGTCTTTATTGTCTTTGCACAAAAACTAATGTAATGCTCAGGACCATGACCGTGGTTAAAAATGAAACTTACAAACAAGAAATGATTTGAAAAGGTAACTACAGTCACTTTGTAAAGCTGATATTTAGAAATAAACAAGACTGGTATTAGACAATGTTAAAACTACTGAAATGAGACACTCATATTTAAACAAACAAAAACAATTGAGATCAAATACTACTGTGAAATGTACTTGAATCAGTCATGCAGGTGGGGATAACGTGTAATCCTGCAGTAAGCATAACAAACAAACAAAACTCACCTGAGCCTTCTTGCTCTTATTCAAAGCCTGAGGAGAAAAAACAATCACACTGATGAATATAAACAAATCTGGGTCAGACAACTAGTCAGGTATATCTAAGAGCATAACAACATCGTACATCAGACCACCAAATCCAAGTGAAATAGATCAGTCTTTGTTCAGAAAATATAAATAATTTCTAATAAAAATAAAGCATTCCTTACCTTCTGTGCTTTGACAAAATCTCTTTCCAAAACCGCATTTTTCTGACGGACGGCGTTCAGTTCTGAAACACAACAAACATTATTGATGAACAATTAATCATTCATTTATAATACACATGATTATTCCTGAGGTAAACTGTATGTAAGCAGTTTGCAGGCTGAAAGTCTTCACCGCGTAACCTGAGTAAATCAGGTGTTTGACTCATAAATTATACAAAATCACAAGTTAATTATTTATTTTATGAAGAAAACAAACACCTTTGCTGAATTTCACTGTTCATCTGTTACTAAATTCAACTGATTAAACATGACAATGCTGCACAAGGCAAGGCTTTTCTGGAGGACCTAAATTAAAGTACATTTCTTTAAAGTTGGTTTGAAAGTTGGACTTAATCAGATGAATCACTCTATGCAAATTGAGGATTTCCTTTTGTTAGGGTAAGGCCGCCATAGAATATGAAGAGTTATTGTAAGAGAGGAACTGAACCAAAGAAAACTTAAAACACTTGCTTGGTCTTAAAGAGAATATCTGTTCAGTAAAAATAAAAACTGCTTTGTAGAGAGCAGAAGGGAAAGTGATATCAGTCTAGGATGAAGTCAGAGACAGGAAAACTACACATATCCAATATATAGATTATTATCAGGAAACATGCAGAGGTGTTTTACCGGCCGAGTTCTTCCTGAGATCATCAGACAGCTGGTAGTTCTGAGTCCTGAGCTCCAGCAGCTGAGCCTGCACACACACACAAGAAGCATGAAACTGCTTCTCGTGATGGGGAGAGCTTCACAGCTAGCTTCTCAATCACCCAAAAATAAAATGGAAAGAAGGCTCGATGACATATTTTCTGTTAGTCAGACTTTGTTCAACAGTGTCTAGCAAACAGCTCAGTGTGTTGTCAGAGAGAAAGACGAAACAGACAATGTAGTGTTAGAAATGGACATAAGGTCAAACTGGAGGAGGAGCACATCACTTTACACAGGTAATAACAGCAGAAATAACTATAATTGGTTTATAAATGTGTCTAAAATTGGCTAAAACGTTAAAAATCACTTCTCAGCTGTGTTGCCAGATAATGTTTTCCTCACAGCACAATAATTAAATACATATTATCATTGATACCAGCTCCCTGGTCCATGCCCAGACAGTTATCCTACTGTAAATATAATAATAATAAAATAGAGTGCACGGTGCACACCCTATGAAAAGATAAGATAAGAGAACTGTTTTTATCCTCAGGGCAATTATTGTGCAGCAGTCCGAAGAAAGAAAAAGTGCATTAATAAAGAAATGAAAAAAAGAAAATATACATAACGATGCAAAAGGTCTAAAAGCTTAATATACATATTGCAAGTAATGTAATCGGGCGAATGATAACTATAAATACAACAGGTTAAAAGGTAGCATATTACAAATATTATATAAGTAAACTAAGTACATTTACTTCATTATTTTATTGAGTATTTTCTGGTTCTTTTTACTTCCACAAAACTACATCTCAAAGGTAAAGGTTGTACTTTCCAATACATTTCCTCTTTAGTTTATTTTTCAGATGAGTTTTCCTTCCCTTCCTCTCTAGTAAAAAACATGTCTGCAGATGTGTTAAAGTTGAATGTCTGTCATACTGAATGATGAAGTGAGAAAAATCCTCCTACTCATTTTCACAGTGAGGTATTAGTACTAATACAGCAGTAAAGGATCCGATTACTTCTTCCACATCTGCCTGTTTACACACTGTGTACTTGTATTACATGTATCATTAATTTGCTATAAATGACAGCTAACACTGGGCTGTTCAATCAAACAGAAACCCCTCTGAGACCCCGTGATCTGTCCCGTGGATGCTAACATGTTAGCATACTGCAGATAAAAATAAGGGTTAGCTTCAGGAAAGCTACATGTTTCTCTACCAGCAGAGGAGGCTAAGCTAGCTTGAGCTAACTGAGCTAGCATACTGTTGTAAACTGTCAATAAAAATATATTTTCCCTCAATATGTGATTTAATGACTTGTGCTTCTTCTCAGACTGACCTGACATTGTTAAATTAATAACAATATATTACAGGATAAGCTTCCGGACAACCGTTAACTTCTAACGGCTACTAACGGTTAGCATGAGAGAGCTAACTGTCAGTGATGTCACACCTGCAGCAACTGACAGGTGTGACATCACACAACAGACAGTCCACCGACCTGAAACAACAAATGTCGGGTTTATTTTTCATGTATCTCACCTGCATCCGATGGAACTCCTCCTCTGACAGAGCCTGGGACAGGGCCATGTTTACCTGAGGTAGGCTAGTAGGCTAAGCTAGCGGAGGAGACGGAGGAGGAGCAGAGAAGAGAAGAAGAAGAAGAAGAAGAGGAGCTCTCACTCTGACTCTGTTTCCCGGAACCAAGAAACAACGACAGTCAAATGGGGCTAAAGCCTGCCTGCTGCTCCAGTGGTGGAGAATTAATTAAGATCCTTTAATCAGAGGTGGGAGAAGTACTCAGATCTTGTAGTGGAGTACAAGTAGAAGTACTCAGAGTGTAGGAATACTATATGTTACAAGTAAAGGTCCTGCATTCAAAATGTTACTCAAGTAAAAGTAGAAAAGTATTAGCATCAACATATAGGCTACTTTAAAGTAGCGACAGTAAAAGTAGTCATTGTGCCGATTGGTCCATTTCAGAATAATATATATGATATGTTTTATAATGATTGATCATGAAAGTGTTCTCAAAGCTGGTAAAGGTGCAGCTAGTTTGAATGACTTTGTATACTGCAGGGTAGCTTGTGAATTTACTAAAGTCTGATTTAAGACTTGATTATATTTCACATCATTCATCCAGATCTGTAAAGTAACTAAAGGTATTAAATAAATGTAGTGGAGTAGAAGTACAAAGTAGCAGAAAATGGAGATAATCATGTTTCTAAGTTCCTCAACATTTTACTTAAGTACTTGAGTAAATGTACTTAGTTACTTTACACCACTGTGGAGAATGTATTAAGATAATTTAATTAAGTAAAACAAACACCTGTTTTTGCCAACATTTAAAGCCACTGTCCTGGTTTCATACTTATTAATTTGTTCTTATTATGATATACAATTTCTGACCTCTAATTATATAGTAAATTACAAAAACATCAGTAAACACCCAGGTGTTGCTTTGTTAGTCGTTTCTCTTAATACATTGTGTGAGAATTTCACTAAACCAAGCTAACTGTTTGCTTTCATTTTCATATATGATATATTTCTGCAGTTGGTTTGCACACCACCACTTTGTAAGTTTCCGAGAAAGTGTGTAGAGCCGGGTTTAAGATGCTAACACCGTAAATATACCAAAAACTCAGCACATAATATCACCACATACGACCACATGCACTTGTGGTGTGTCCTCTAAGGCCCTTATTTTCCATCTTGTGCTGCACAACTTTTGCTGCGTCCTGTGTAATTGCATATCACACAGTTGTTGCCGTTCTGAAAGAGTTCTGGAGGATGTTCATGTATTGTTACATACAATGATCTGTGAATTCATTTTTATTATGAAATGACAAGAAAACAAACTGTGTAAAAACTTTACATTCGACAATATCATTTCAACATCTCCGCTTTTCAGTATGGTCCTTAGTAAAATAAAGACAAAGACAAAAAAAAACCTTTTCCACTGAATCGATTCCAGGGCAAGTGAATCAGTTATTCGTGTCCACTGCAGCAGCACTGGGTGATCACAAAACACAGACTGCATAGGGAGACTTTGTGTACCAATTGTTTACATTGTTTTAGCTTTTATTTATACAGGTGAAAATGTCATTGAGACACAGGGTCTCATTCTCAAGAGAGACCTGATCAGTGGTAACACTACCACACAAAGTCACAGACAGAAAGGACACTAAACACAGAGGCAACAATCAAATAAAACATTGTAAAAAGTAGTCATTGAAAATTCATATAGTCAGATATTGCAGGTGCAAACACCCACGGATGATTTATCCAGCTTTTTTAAAATTAGTTTAAAATCCGTGATGGGTATCAAACTGGTCAGCTTAAGTTCCTGCTGAAGTGTGTTCCAGGTCGAGGGGGCAGAGTATGATATGGCTTTTTTCCCAAGCACCGTGCAAACTGAGGGGACGGACAGAGTGATGTCATTTTGAGATCGTGGTCTATAGCTGTACTGTTTGTGTGATATGTAAGTGGATATGTGGAGGGGCAGCAGTCCAAGCATAGGTATAGATTAATTTATATGTCCAGTTAACTAAAGAGTACAGCGTGTAATGGTGTGTGAGGGGTTTACAGTTGGTTATGAACCTCAGAGCCCCATGGTAGACAGCGTCCAGCAGATGAAGGGAGTGAGCTGAGGCGTTCATGTACACAATAGAGATGGCAAATCCGGATCCTTTTACGGACTCAGGGTCTTCTGAGTCAGTCATTGAAGAGATCCGGATCATACGAGTCATTTGAGTCTGAAGTAAAAAGATATGATTCTACACTGTATTGAAGTAAACATGTATTATTTTGAATTGTATTTTAGTGAACATGTATTGTTTGAACTGTTTTAGGTAATCACAAACGGGTTTTGATAAATCACTTAGAATAGGAATGTTATTCTCACTTTTAAACTCATTGACCCAGAGATTCTGTGTTTCACACAGCAACCTTGCCTGTATCACCCCTAAAAGCCAGATGTTGGTTTTAAGTCGTTAAAGACATCGTTAAATAGGTGAAGGAAAGTTCAAATGTCTGAAAAGGGATAGTTTATGTGAAGGACTCATGGGAAAGGAATATAGTTAAGATTCGAATCGAAGATAGAGGTTGACTTTTGACCTTAGGGGACTTTGGAATTTCAAGTCCTGGTGAGAACTATTGACCTCGACCAGAAGCGAATCCAGCCAATCAGGACACTTGGGGAAGGTGATCAGCTTACACAGCTCCTCCTCACGGAACTCTGATTCGCTTGGGAGGAAAATGGGAAGGAAGAGTCGAGCCATCTCCGCCCCAAAAATAGATATGAATACTGATGTTTTTGTATGTAAAAATGCTTCTGGTTTGCTGAAGGCTGGTCTAGAGACGTGTAAACCGCATCCCAAACCTGAAGTCTGTACTTCTCGTTTCCTGAAGGCTGGTCTGTCTACCTGTAAACCGCGTCACAAACCTGAAGCCCGGAGTGCTCGAGTACTCTGTATAACTTGTATATGTGTTTGGTTTCCTACTAGAAGTAAACTCAGATAATTTGTTATAACTTTGATTCCGGTGTTTTCAATTCCTTTCTTAATTTAATAGAGATCCAGCCTCATCCAACGAACGGCGCGTAGCAGAGGTGTTCTGCTCCAACAAGTCATATGAGTCAGCATCACCAAGACCGTAGAAATCCTATCGGTGAAACCGAAAAGTTGTTGCATTTCACGAGCATATTATTATTCCATATATTTTGAATATATATATATATATTTGTATATATATATATATATATATGTAATATCTGCATGTATATTTTCTATTTCGACATGTATATTTTATATTTTATATTTTATTTTATTTTTCTTTCTATTCTTGTATATTTTGTAGTTTTGTTTTATTGTAAAATGCCTTATGCTGCTGTAACAACAACAATTTCCCAATTTGGGATCAATAAAGTACTATCTATCTATCTATCTATTAAACTGACGTTATATTAACCTCCGCTACACAGTGTATTTTGCTTTAATAAAAAATGTTGATCACAAAAAAAAGGGTTGTTTTGCGATTTGGCAAATCTGAGTCTGCTGTTGACTCGTGCATGAGGACGAGTCTGCTGGATCTCTGGATCTGCTGCTATATACGGCTCCGAGTCCGCACGAGTCTGCTCTGCTGTGTGTTGCACAGCGAGTCAGGATTTGCGAATCTGAGTCTGCTGTTGACTCGTGCATGAGGACGAGTCTGCTGGATCTCTGGATCTGCTGCTATATGGTTACGGCTCCGAGTCCGCACGAGTCTGCTCTGCTGTGTGTTGCACAGCGAGTCAGGATTTGCGAGTCTGCGAGTCTGCTGTTGACTCGTGCATAATATAGCGCGGGAGCCGGGTGCTGGAGGAGGGGCTATGCTCGTGCACATGACGAGTATGGATCTCTGGATCTGCTATGCTATTACGGTTAGGAGCCGTCGGCTCCTCTGAGTCCCCACGAGTCTGCAGGAAGTTTCACTGATCCGCGTCCCCTCCCCTGAGCCAAACGATAACTTCTGGCAGGCAGCTATCCTGTATACTTGCTAAAGGGTAGGCAGATGGACTGGGGTACGTTGTAATGTGATTTTACATGTTATAAAGAGAGTAGCGAGTGACGCAATTTATAGTTTTAATTTGTACGTCACACCAAGTGTGGGACTCAAGGACTCGGGTTAATGGAGAGGGGAGACTCGTCACGACCAGCTCATTTCTAGGATCCGGGTTAATGATCCGGATGAATCAGGACTCGCCCATCTCTAGTACACAACATCCCCGTAGTCCAAGAGCGGCAAAAACTGTGGCAGCTACAAGCCGTTTCCTCGCACTTGTGGAGAAGCAGGCCTTATTTCTAAAAAAGAATCCCAGTTTTAATTTCAGTTTCCTTAAAAGATTGTCAATATGTGGTTTGAAGCAGAGATTTTCATCTATAGTGATGCCTAAGTATCTGTAGGTGTTAACAGCTTCAATTGGGTTATGCTGTGCAGACATGATGCAGGGAAGAACAGTTGGTAACTTTTTCTTATTGGAAAACAACATGACTTTTGTCTTGTCTGAATTTAACACCAACCTGAGGTGGAACAGGTGTGACTGAAAAGTGTCAAAAGCAGACTGCAGACGTTCAAATGCAAGGGCAACAGTGCTAGCACAACAGTACACAACAGTATCATCTGCATATAGATGTACAGAGGCGTCAATACTTTGACCCACATCATGTATATAAATTGTAAAAAGGGTGGGTCCCAAGACCGAACCTTGAGGAACACCTCTGGTTAACTTAAGAAAGCTTGCGGAGAGACCGCTGAATTGTACACATTGCTTGCGATTTGAAAGATAGTTTGAAAACCAACCAACAGCTTGGTCATAGAATGCCATGGTCCACAGTATCAAATGCCTTGGATAAGTCTATAAAAAGGGCAGCACAGTAGCTCTTTGTGTCCAAGCCTTCAACAATATCATTCACTACTTTCAAAGCAGCCGTTACTGTACTGTGCTGCTTCCTAAAGCCTGACTGGTGAGGAGATAGAATGTTGTTCAAACTTAAATATTCTTTGATTTGATCATTCACCAGCCTTTCAAGTACTTTAGCTAAAATAGAGAGCTTGGAAATTGGAATGTAATTATTCATCACCACCTTTCAATAAGGGGAGAACATTTGCAGTTTTCCACACGTCTGGAATGACATGGTTTGTTATAGAAAGATTATACCCCATTAGTACGGGTGGCCCCTTCTAAGAAACTCATGGCATGACTTACAGCACTTAATTATATATCCATGATTCCCTCTACACTACGATCATACCATATATACCAAGATAGTGTTGAAGCAAAGATGGATAAAAACAACTATGTAAGACACAAGGAAACAGACATTGGAGGCAATGGTGATTGCAATGCTATCGCTGTAAAGTCTCGTTCTGACACAAGACTTTACAGCGTCGCTGCTTGTAAACATGAACAGGAAATGCTTTTTTTTGCGGGTATATATAAATGTCCCGCTGCAGAACTGTGATCGTTGTCAGTTGATGCCAGCTGCACATCAAAGATGCAGAGCCTTATAACAAAAATCGCCACTGAGAAGCTGAGCACCTACGCTGCTGTCATATCTATCTTCACCTACACTATTTTGCTCGACAGGGATTTTGCCTGCACCTGCAAACCACAAGCCTCGATCTGCTTCCTGTACATGTTTCTGCCACCCTTTATCATTTTTTTATTAATACTTTTGTTGGACAGTTCGTTCCAAAGTGTCTGTAAATACTATTCCTCGCATTGTAAATGCCTCTGCGGTCTTTGCTGTTTTTATGCCCATCATTTTTTAAGGGCATTATTAGTCGGCTTGCTGTGGGTTGCTTTTTTGTTCCTCGATGGAGACTGGTATGTTTGCTGTCAGAATGACGGCTCTGAACAACAGGCAAAGTTAGCCTGCGTAGCTGAGAAGGATATCAAAGACAACGAGAAAGTTCTTAAAGCTGAACTGAAGAACACATCCCGGGTGAGTGCTTCCACTCTGGATCTACTTTATCAGCATCAGTTACAGTTTATCTGAAGTAATGCTGTTGTGTTATAACTATCTTTCTTTCTTTCTTTCTTTCTTTCTTTCTTTCTTTCTTTCTTTCTTTCTTTCTTTCTTTCTTTCTTTAGGCTATCGGTGGCTGGATTCTATCTGGAATTATTTTAGTGGCTTTCATCTTGCCATTCTGTGTCAGATCGAAATGCTGGGGGAAAAAAAAACATTCTGCCAACAAAAGATTTCTGTATGACAAACTGATTATAATGGAGGAGGGCAATGTGCTGAAAGAGGTTCTGAGGAATTCAGCAAAGGAGAAGTTGACTGAAGGAATCAAGAGCAAAATCCGTGAAAAACGAAGGGAAGAGTGTTTCGAAGTTGCCAGAGAGCTGATTGAAAAAGACCCGCGAGAAGATGAGCTCCAACCGCTAGGGGCACAAGAAGCAGAGACCTAGGTAAAGAATAATAAAATAACACTTCTCCACTTTTCTTTTTCATTCTGTCGGCCTCAAGGCCTACAGCTAGATATTGTTTGTAGGAAGATAAGTAGGTGAAATTTGATGACCGTTACTTGACTTTATTCTGTGTTTGAGCATAAAGAATGCACAATCTTAGTCGTGTGGTAACATTTGTGTTTTTTCAAAACTTGTTAGGGTTAGGGTTAGGGGATACATCAGATTAAAAACCTCTCAAGTTAAAATCTGCAGGTTTACTGATTATGAAGAATGCTTTGATAGTTTCTGCTAGTTGTTTCTCAAATTGCAAGTCGCTTTATCTTAGTGTGTGTTGCAGACTGGATTTGCAATATGTCGTAGATGTTAAGTGATGTTTGAGTTTACCTATTTTGATATAAGAATGTCCTTTTTATGTTAGATATCATCATCATCACTGTCATTTAAACACATGTAAATGCACTGTGCTCAATGCACCAGGCGATGGTGCCAGACAGGCTGTTAGTGTGTTTTTCACCTCCTGCTCTCTTTTCTCTTAGCCTCTTTGTCCAGTCCAGTTGACACGCATCCTATCTGTTCCTGCCGGTACCGACTAGACTGGACGATCATTGAGGAGGCACACCTGGAAGAGTTCTGTCTCTCCATGGTTTCATGATCTGTTGCTGACTACAGAGTTTAAGTGAAGTCAGCAGCTCCCAGTACGACTGGAAAATGTTATAGATGCCATTGCTCCCACCAAGGTAAAGGAAGTGTCTGGCAAGAAAATATCTCCATGCAGAAAGGCCATGACCTGCTAAATGCAGGTGGCGAAAAACAAATCTCCATTTTGAAATCTATAAAGAGAGACTTGGCTTTTATCATTTGGAATTGAAAAATGCATAAAAGTCTTTCTTCTCTGACATCATTGCCAAAAACAAAAACAATGTACGTGCCTTGTTTGCTACCGTCGACAGACTAACAAACCCCCCAGTGTCAGTAGCCTCTGAATTTCTATCCACCACGGCCTGCAATGATTTTGCCTCCTTCTTCACTGACACAATTCAGAAAATCAGACAAGCAGTCAGTGCCTCTGTATCAGGTACAGCAGATGTGTTGTCTCTGTGTTCACTTAAAATAAATTCAAACACCATGACACAATTCCATCTGATTAATGATAAAAACCTAGAGGACGTTATACAACTTCTGAAATCCTCCTCCTGCTGCCTTGATGTTATTCCAACAGGCTTTTTCAAAAATGTCTCAGATCTACATCAAATAGTAAACAATAGGGGTGGGAATCACCAGGCTTACTTACTTTCATTGCAATTGTATACATGTCTTAACGTAACTTGCTGTTTTATATAGACATGCTTTTATTTTGAAGGCGACTTTGCAGGAAGTTCCCGAAGCAAAAACTTGACGGAGAAAAATAACGGAGATAAAGTACAGATATTAACGGAGATATCAACATTTAAATACGGCGGTATCAAAAGATAAAGTTTACATTTAAGTATCGGGGAGCGAAGAGGTACAAGGTGTTAACTGTAATGTAAAAATGTGGTGTGTGTCTTAATTCGTTTATACTGTATTATAACTTTGCTAACTATTTGAAGTTCACTTGTTTAATGGTATTCTAAAGTAATGCTCGGATGTAGCTTAAATGTATTTGTTGTTTTGAGTCTTTGTGTAGCTCTTACGTTGGTTTTTGGAGTTTTCAATAAGTAAAAAATCATCAGTCAAGTGTAAGACTATCTTTCGGAGGGATATGCTACAGTTTATATAAAAAAAATGTAACGTGTATCGATACAATATCGCCACGCAAAGTATCGTGATACTATGCTGTATCGATTATTTCCCCCACCACTAGTAAACAAGTCTCTTCACTCAGGTCTTTTTCCACAGGCCCTGAAAACTGCAGTCATTAAACCTCTCTTAAAAAAGAATAATCTAGATGCTTCAGTAATAAACAATTACAGGCCCATATCAAATCTCCCATTTCTAGGTAAAATCACAAATTTGTTGCATTTAAATAACAGTTTCAATTTGTTCCAGTCAGGCTTTTGACCAAACCACAGCACTGAGACTCCTCTTGTTAAGGTCTTCAATGACATCCACTTAAACACAGACAGTGCAGAACTTCAGTGTTACGGCCCGTCCACACGGCAGCGTGCGTTGCTTCAACGGAGACGCTTCCCATTCACTTTAAATGGGGTGACGTCACGCTTTGCCGAACTGCATTGTGGTTCCATCGCTTTGCCTCCGTTGCTCGCTTCGAAAGTTGAGAAAAGCCCAGCCCCACCTAGTCTCAGCAGAAAGTAATTAAAATAATAATTCCTAAAATATGAAAAAAATATATATCTTAAAATATATTTTAAGATCATGTTTAGTCGTCTGATTCGTCTGTACATTGCTGTTTTAGTCTGCGTTCTTCTAATTAGTGTCCACAGTGTGCCTATTGAGCCGTCTTTAGCAAGCCCCTCTCTCTGCTGTCAAAATGAATGGGTACTGTGAAAACTACACTGCGCATGGTCAGAGTATTTTTGTATTCAATGTGTGCAGCAAAAAAATAATCACCAGTGGGGCAAAGTGCTGGCAACCCCACCAAACGTCATCCCATAATTCAGAGCTGATTGGCTGTAAGTACGTGTGCCGCAAAGTGTAGCTGTGAAGAGGAGACGAGAGAGAGCAGCTTATAGCGATAAAAATCAGTAAAACGGAAAGAAAATGAATGAAGTTGACCATCTACTTCAGCTTTGGTAAGTTCATTTTATGTCATATATTTTGTTGATCTTCTGTGTTTTGCCTGTAGGCTATTGCTCTGCTGGATCGATTGATATTGTGTCACGGTATTGTTAACATGGCCCACCAGTGCAGAAATATCCGGATGTTGACAGGCAAGCCTCTATCACGACTTTTGGTTCACTAAAACACAGAAGATTTTTTCAGTTCTTGTCAAGCAAATGTATATGTACTACGTATGTTACTAAAGAGGTTTTAGATTGGCCAGTCTCCATGTGAAGTTATCGTCATCTCTCGGCGTGAAAACAGTATTTCCGGTGTCTGTGTTTTCACAGTAACGTGGTTGCCAGGTCTCGCTGCTGGAAATGAGTATTCTCGTCACTGTCCAACACATTCTCACTCCTAACTCGTCCTATATGTCAGGATCCCTTGGTGTCACTATCAACGCAGTGGGGGGCCCTTTAGCCGATTTTCGACTACGAAGGAACCATGCAGCAGAGTTTCCGTTAACATTTTTTTCCGCCGGTCAACATGTCCGTTAAAGTTTAAATCTTCCGGACAAAATTAGAAAAGTGCCGTCAGAGGTCTTCTTTGTTATTTATTGAGCTTTAAAACAAATTGATAACGACTCGATATAATAATATAAGAATAATAAACGGAGCCTCTCTTTTCCTCCCCCTCTTCTGACAGCCCAGCAGCTGATCTCAGAGCAGGAGACGTGGGGAGAGGGAGATGTGGGGAGAGGGAGGCGAGGCTATTTCATAGTTATCAGAAAATGATCGTATAGAGGCGTACACACGGAGCCGTTTGACCCCCCAGAGTGTTCCGTTTGCAGATCTATCCATCTTGGGACCCGTTATCGTTTGCGGGGTCCGTTTCTATAGTTTTGTTACAGCCTTGTGTAAACGAAAGGGCTATACGCAAGAGAAACTATGCGGATACAACCCGTGTAGGAGCCATTTTATGAGTGTTGTTGGTGTCTCAGTTTACCTTATTTATATGTATAGTGCAATATTATTTTTGAACACTTGGTGGCGGTGTTTAGCTGCACCGGGTGTATAAAGGGGTCACAGGTGACAGGAAATAACGAGTACACAGAAGAGAGCATACCGATTCCACCAGCCCGGCAGATGCTCACCACAACCATTAAACTGTATAATTAAAACCTTGGTATGTAAAACGCTAAATAAACATTAGAAACTGCACCAAAGGACCGGAAAGTCATCTGTTTGTTACTTTTTTCCACAGATCCTTTAGATCCACGCCTCGAGTGGATTTTCAGTATGTCAATTTTGGCATTGAGTGCAGACAGTTTTAGTTCAAAAGCAAGTTTTGTCTTTTCTTTTCTAAGCTCCTCCTCTTGGGCTTCCAATGCATGTTTCCTCTTCAATGCAGCCATGCGTTCTTTAAGGACTGCTAAATCCGCTTCAGCTTGGATTATTGCAGATGAGCGGTATGATAATCTGAACAATTTCTGTGGTCTGGAATCATTGTCCTTTAAACATAACGTGTGGTGCAATGTCCTTAGGGTTTACCTCGTCAGAAGATCCACTTCTGTCCTTTGATGCGGCGTCTTGCATAATATTTATTTGATTGGCGTTATTTAAATATCCAAATATGTTATTTTAATCCACAGCAGAAAACGCTGTTGCATGCGCGTCATCACTATGTGCACCTGTTCCCACGGTCCGACTATTCTTTAAACGTTTTCCACTGTTCATTAATATGCGGCGAAACAATGACTCCAGCACTCCAATAGTGAGGCCATTTTCCTATACAGCCACTGGAGATAATGTTCACATACCGCCCATGTTCCTGTGCCGTTGTTGAAGTCCGTCCAGAGTCCGATGTGTCTTTTAAAGTGAAATCCAATACTCCACTTCAAATGCGGGCAATCCACAAAAAAAGAACTTCAAAAAACAAGTCCGCTTTGACGGCAAGGTTTTTTACTTTGTAGCGGCCAAAATCATATAGAAAAACAAATAATCTTAAAGGGGACCTACCATGCAAAATGCACGTCTTTTCTACATGAATATGTGTCCCCGGTGTTCCAGGGAACTCACCAAGTGTCAGAAAACACAACCCTCTCTATTTTCCTCCATACCCAAATCTCTAAAAAAGGGGCTGCAACGGATCTGATCAAAACTGATCCAGATTTGAACACTGTCCTGACGTCAGGACAGTGGCGCTATGGCTATTGGGCCAACTCCACCAATCAGGAGGACAGCCACGGCCATTGCCGTTCGAAAGTGCTGTAGTACATATGCCAGGCCAGTAGGTGGTGCTGTTTTCACAGAATCAGCCCTTGCAAAAACAGAGCTAAAAAAGTGCAAATTGAGCGAAATGAGGCATGGCTAAAATGCATGATAAGTTTGGCATTTAAAAAAAAAAAAAAAAAAAAAAAAAAGTATAAATATGCCTTATAAACATTTTTTTTATTATTGGCCACATACAATCTGAAATGCAAAGAGAACCAAGAATAAAAACCAAATTCAGATTGAAGAAACCAGTCAGCGAAATGGATCCATTCCTGTTGGGAGAACAACGTTTAATATAGCCGTTCAGAATAAATGTATATTGCAACACGAAACCCTTACCTTCAGGAATTCACATCTGTGATGGTAAATGGCCCAATGACTGCTTTTTGTACCATTCCATGTTTCTCTGCAAAAATATATATTTTAGTACAAGTCAACCAAACAAGTGTAATACAGCAGAAGTTGTGTACATACCCGACGCAACACTCCTCTGCCTCCTTGACTTGCATTTCGATTCACAGCAGTCACAAAGATTGCTCTGGGCCAAGTTGTCCAGCAACTCCCAACTGAGTTCATGAAGATTGGATGAAAAGATAATTAAAATGCATCTCAACTCTTCCAAATAAAGATTCCACAAAGTTTGAATAGTTATGAATGGGATCCATCTGTATCTTCAGTAGACTGGGCTTAAGCTGAATAAGTCATCTCATGTAAAACAAATTAACCTACAATTCAAATTCTGATATATTAAAAGTAATATTTTTACCCATGCCCTTTGACAAAGTGGCAGGCTTTCTTAGTGCTGTCAAGACCATTGGGATCCCAAGCCAAAAGTTTGCAGTGGATAAAGACCTGTTGAGTAGAGGGAAAATATAGGAGTCATGGCATAAATTAATCTCAGTTTCCACAATAAAAC